TTGTTATATGCCGTCGAGTCGGCCCGACTCATAGCGACCCCTCCTTGGGTTTCCAAGGCAGTATCACTACGGACGTAGGATTGCCCAACCTTCCTTCCTAGGAGTGGCTGGTGGGTTTGAACCGCCAGCCTTCTGGTTAGCAGTCAAGTGCCTTAGGCACTATGCTACCAGAGCTCCCAATGAAACTTGCAGATAGGAAAGTTAATTTGACTTGATTCCAACTTACGATTACCCCCAAATGAGTAAGTTTTAAGGAACCTGCAGCTTTTAAACCCTCATCCAAAATGATTTTTATTCATATTTGCTACATAAACAAACTTGACAATCCATGGCACTCTGACTTTTCCAGACATGAAAGAAGACTTAAAATCAAAAAATGCCATTTTGAAAAGTATCTTCTGTCACAGTAATTTATCAAGTTGAAGCTAGGACTGTTGTGCAAATTCCAATACTGTTCCCTCAGTACTTCATAAATGGAATTTTCTTCTACTTGTATCCATTTCCCGGGGCTGAAAAAAATCATATATAAAACAACAATTTGGGTACATCCTTAGATTTTAAATCTATAGTTAGCTTCAAGTGCTGAGAAACTCTGGGTTTATCTGAGATCCTAAATAGTGAGTCTTAGGCCTAACAAAAAGTACTGGAAGTTAACTGTTCCCATATATGTGGTATGTAATTCTAAAGTATGTTACTTAATATACTTAATATGTTCTGAAACACATTTTCATTTATGATTTAAGATGATGATTCTCAAACTGCTACAAACCTCTACAGCTCTTGGGGGGGAAAATAACGCACTGCCCTTGAGTTGATCTTGACTCATATCAACCCCTCCTTGGGTTTCCAAGGTGGCATCTCTACAAAAGTAGATTGCCCAGTCTTCATTCCGAGGAGTGGCTGATGGATTTGAACCTCCAGCCTCTGGTTAGCAGTCAAGTGCCTTTGGTGCTTCTGAAAACTAACGTAGCAGAATCACTTTAAACGCAGGTTGCTGTACCCCCCTGAGAACTGATTCTTTAGGTTTATGGCTCAAGAATTTGCATTCTTAACAGTTTCCAGGTGAAGATGTTGGTCCCACTTTCAGAATCACTGACCCTTAGGCTACTTCAAATATTGATGCTGTTCTGACTTACGGTGACCCTCATATGTGCAGAGAACAACAATATCATAGGGTTTTCAAGGCTGTGACCTTTTGAAACATCACCAAGCCTATCTCTAAGGTGTCCCTGGTGGGTTCAAACTGCCAACCATTCAGCTAGTTAGCAGTTAAGCACTTAACTATTTGTACCACCAAGGTTATCACAAGACCCAAACACAGTATCAGAGATTGGTTCTTTCTAGCTACTGGGGAGAAAAGTTCCGAAGTACAGGCAGTCTCTTGGGTTACAAACAAGATCTGTTCCTAAGTGTCTTTAAGAAAAGTATAGATCACTCAGAACAGGTGCATGAAGGAGATCTCTGGTGGTGCACTGGTTAAGGCATTTGCTGCTGACCAAAAGGTCAGCAGTTTGAACTCACCAGCCCCTCTTGGAAGAGAAAGAGGCAGCAGCTGGCTTCTGTAAAGATTTACAGCCTTGGAAGACCTATGGAGCAGTTTTACTCCATCCTATAGGCTCACTGGGAGTTGGAATCGACTTGAAGGCAATGGGTTTGTTTGATTTGGCTTTAGTACAAAAAAAGGCTTGAAGCCTTTTCGATGATTTAAAAGCTTCATGTACAGCAAGTGAAGGTGATTGTGATGAAATTTTTTTTTTGTGAGTAGGCAGTTGGTTCAATAGTTTCAAGGTGAGGACAAATTTACATTAACGCAGGGCTTCAAAGTTGGTGGCTGACCACACTGCTCTGAATGTGTGGCTCTCCGCAGTCGTGCTCATAATTCAGTCTCATGCATCAGGCTCCTGAAAGGGCTCACTATGCCTCCTCTAAGTCTCCCATTGCAGGGCGCCAACCCATTTTTCCTGTTCTGGTTACCATGAAAAATATACCATAAAAATTTTGGTCTGGCCCTGTTTTGCTTCATAAGCTATCACAGAACCAGTTCAAAGCCCTGCATTAAAGGGCAAGTAGGAGTTGTTCTTAAGTTGGTCATTTGTAACCCAGGGACTGCTTGTATTACATAAGGTGTAAGTACTAAAAGCTTGAAGTACATAGTTTACTTTTTCTCCAATATTTAAAAAATGATTTACTAGTAGCTTTAAAGCATAAGCATGTACCTTATGGATCCATTCATATTCTCCATATTTAGAATCAAACGTTCCTTTCTGAAGAGATCTTAATTTTAAGGTAAAACGTGGTCCAAGCTCCTGAATTCCTACTTTCTTTTCACTTTTGAATATGTATCTTTAAAGATAAAAGACAAGAGTTAAGGAAATTAGGGTGATAATTTTTTTTTCATTATCTGTACTACTTTATAGTAGAAAAAAGGTTCCTGTTGACAATGTGTTTCATGATTGAAATCACAGTCCAAGGAATTAAAGCACCTTCCTCACCTGTGAAATCTAAAGAAGATATAATCCCGTTGATTGTGGAAAGTGGCAACCTGCCTTCCAATAAACTGAGGGTCATGGGGAAAAAGAGATGCAAACATACGTCCGATAGAATGACCCAACCGTGTTGTGAAATTATTAAGAATTACTTCAGGTATGTGTTCTGTGGGGTCCTTGCCTCTTCTCTAGAAAAATGAAAAATTAGAACGAATTAAGCTAATTGGCAAAACAATTATATCTCATTCCAATTTCAAGTATTAGAATTTACATGATGACATTATTCAAAAAAACCAAAGTTATGTCTAATTAACTACAGATGGCTTACCAAACCCATGAAATGAGATATATTTAATATAAACATGCAGTGAATGTACCAAAAACAAACTCCTACCAGAAAATCAGTGTTTTGTAGTAATGAAGGCTATTGCCTGCCTGCCATAACTCAATCATAATTACACAAGAAAACTGTCAGTAGATAAAAGAACTGCTTTCAACAGGAGCGGGCAAATGCCATTTAATCAATTTGATCTATAAGATACAACATCTACTAAAGTTTTAAGTGTTTGATTTTTCCATTGCAAAGCAAAAAACCATTCTCCTTTTCAAAAATACAATTCAAGTGAAATTTTGGTAAGACAAATGCCAATTAAGGAATGTATGACACTTACCTTGATTTCTTTGCGCAGACGAACACTGCTCATTTTAAAATGAGCAGTTGGACCATGTGGCAAGTGACTCAAAACAAGTCCATCTGTTCATGAAGTTAAGAACACAGTGAAACCCTGTATTATTATAATCTTAAATTATTTAAATAACTAGTCCTCTGTATGCCCCCAAACCAAAGCCAAACCAGTTGCTGTGGAGTCAGTTCTGACTCTTGGCAACCCTCTATGTGTTAAAATATAACTGTTCCATTGGATTCAATGGCTGATTTTTTAGAAGTGGATCACCAGCCCTTTCTTCCAAGGCACTTCTGAGTAGACTGGAATTTTGGTTAGCCACCAAGCATGCTAACCATTTGAGACACCCAGAGGCTCCCCTGTATGCCCACATGGCCCTAAAATATGTAGCTAGGTTAATGGGTGGGTGCACATATGCCTTTGGTTTATCTAAAATTTTCCAATCATTCTCAAAACTAAAGGTGCACAAGTCAACCCAAATCTTTCCAAAAAATAGATTAACCTGTAGTGGTGTTTACTTTTTCTCTTTTCACAAAACAGTAAAATGTGTGTTACCACCATCAACAGCATAATGATGGGTATTCAACTGAAGTAGGAAAAAGAAGCCATTAATGTTACCTACTATTTTAGCAGGAATGATAAGACAGAATGAAATTCTGGAATAATTCTAGCAATGCAAATAGTTTATACGTTCAGAAGATTTATAACCCTAAAAATGCACACTCGTATGTTACATATAGTCAGGATATGCCGTCAGCTTTGAGTATTATTCAACAAGACCAGAGTCTCCGGTCCAAGGTCTCTTGGAAGTCAAGGTTATTAGTGTTTCTCAAGAGTCAAGGTCTTCCTCTTGGGATTACTGTGCCACAAATTACTATCAACCAACCAATTTATAACTACTTATTGTCTACAGAGAATTATGCTAGGCTAAAAATGCAATATAAGAAGTCTACCTACAATCAGCCTAAGGGCTTTAAAGGTCCTGGCTGCAGCAAACTAAGAATACCTCATGTACAACACTTCTCCAGTCTTTGCATCACAACCTTACTTTATCCTGCAATACCTATGCTTTCCAATGATTAAATTTTGGCTATTGTTTAGTGCCACTACAATCGGGTAGAAACGATGACAACAGACAAAGCTCTCAATTTATATAATGTTTACAAAACATTCTTACATGTACATTATTTCATCTGATCCTTACAGGAACTACACTTTAGCTGGGGGTCAGACTCAAGGCTATTTAAAGTGTATCTGTGTACAGTATGAGTTTTACAAAACAGATGTTGCCATCTTTTTTATAGCACTATCAATATTCTTCCATTCAGCCAGATTACAAGCTACAGTTACCTTCAACTTCTCCCTCTCCCACCAAATCCTATTGATTTTACCTTTAAAAGTCCCTTTACTTCTACAACCACTTCTTTACCCTCACTGCTACTGTTTTAGTTGAGGTCCCTGAGCTTTACACATAAATTATTAAAACTTACTGTGCTTGTTCCGACCTCTTCAAGTCTATCTTCTAATAGTCCATAAATTAAGTCTGGATTTAGGCCTTTGTTCTACACATAATCAGCTATGTATTACAGTTTCTCAAGTGCTAAGTGGAAAACAAAACTAGATACCACCAGGATCTTGACAGCTGTAGCTAACTTCATACCACTCTCATCAGACTCATCTACAGAATAAAGACATCAGTAAAGAGTCAATGTGTCCTCTCCTTTGTTATGAGACCAAAGGAATTGGATGGTGCCTAGCTATCATTACTGAACATTCTGATCAAAAGGGAGAAAATGCAGAATGGAATTTCAAATTCTCATGGATGCCTGACTTTCCTGAGCAACAAAGGTTGGATGAACTCCTGTAACTTATTTCCTTGAGATAATCTTTTAGTCTTAAACCAAAAATATCCTCTGAAGTCTTCTCAAAACCAAACAATAACTTAATTTACTTAACTAGTAAAAAAATGTCTGCCTTGAACATTAAGCTCTTTGAAGAACTATCTATATGGGATCAAATTAACAACAGCAACTTGAAAGATCAGTAGGAACCTTAGGGGGCAGTGAATTTATGTTAATGAGAAGGAACAACTCAGGAAAGAAGGGTGAGAATAGTTGCACAACTCAAAGAATATAATCAATGTCATTAAATGGTAAACGTAGAAACTGTTTAATTGGTGTATGTTTTGCTGCACATAATTTCAACAACAACAACAAAAAGACTCAATGTGTCATCAAACTACTCTTTGAGCCTATCTCCTCTCAAGCTTCCCCATGCTGCCATGCTGGTTCCTAGCTTGGGAGTCAGTCACACAGTCACCAATTTTCTCAGCGTCTACTGTTATTTACCAGAAAACCTGTCACTAATGTAACAGTCATATAAATCCACTCTCCTCAACTAATTCATAACTCTTAGAAGAAATACTAGTTTCTTACAGGTATTTGTGCCTACCACATACATAGTAGATTATCAGTAAATACTTGAATTTTCTTTCTTTTTGAAGATTTACTACAAGTTCCTTCATAAAGTACATCTACCACTATTTCTGTAACACTAAAACATTAAGGAAATCATACAATTTTGAGGAAGAAGGAAATGTAAAGATCTTTTCTTCCACCCCAAATTAAGGCCTGAATCCTCTGTAGAACACACCTACTAAGTAAGTTGTGCTCTGTGTCAAAAACAAGTTACAAAACACAAACTCATCAGTTTTGAAATAATTTCCTTTCCTGAGTACCTGCCCTATACAAGGAACATTTATTTATGTTAATCCCTAAAACAAATCATTGAAAACAGGAGTCATCACCCTTACGTTAGTAATGAGGAAGAAGTTGAGAAGGGTCAAGTAACTTAGAATTCCTGAGCTAGGCGGCAGCAGATCTCAACTGGGGTGGGACTTGTACCTGAGCCCTTGACTGGCAGCTGCCCACACCTAGACATATATGGAGGGATTTTTTGCTTATCATGATGAATGAAGTATTATTGGCACTTAGTACCAAAGGCCAGGAATGCAAGACACTGCATTCAAACTGCCAACAATATAGCACATAGAAATATGCCACCTAAAATCCAATAATGCTCTATTTACAATGAATGTAGGGGTTATGGCTGTATGAATAAAGCCTCCATGCTTTTCACTGCACCACATTTACTAAAACACCTACTACAGGCCAGGCATTATGCCTTTATAAACATAGTATGCTTAATGTGATCCATGTGGGAAAACTAAAGGTAAGTATCATTTCCTACATTTAAAAAATGCCAAAGTGAATGGCTAAGACACTTATCTCTAAGATTCACCACTAATAGGTTCTTCCTTTACATATTAGTTCTACATTTTTTTTTTTCTGGATTGAAGCAAAGATTAACCTGAATTCTTTTTTTTAACTTCTTCCTTCCTTTAAAAATCCTACCTCTATTTACCTATCTCTTATCTTCCTCAAAGAGAAGTACAGTCTCATTTATATAAGTTTGCTCAGATATATTCTGAAGACAGGATATCTGAACTCATTCAGCTTCTAGGCCTTATCTTAAAATCTCTTTATCCAAGACAGACTTCCAGTCTCCCTTACCAATGTCCATATTGGTATCAAGATTATTCTCTGTTAATAAGACACAAGCAAATCAAGAGTTTTGCTTTCCTAGCATCTTTCACCAATATTTTGCCATCAGCTGCATTAGTAAACACCAATCAGAAAAGAAAATGAAATATTTTTGAAATTATAATAAAATGAAAATCTAAGCAGGTCATACTTACACAAATTCCATTAGCCTTTGATAATCCAATGCATAATTTTATACTCCAAAATTATAATCTTTTTACCTTTTCAGTGAAATTTTACAAAGCAAGTTCATTTTACACTCAACAGTTCATACACATTTTGTTTTGTGACACTGATTACAATCCTCACGATGTAACAGCTCTCCTTCCACTTCCTTCCCTGTGGCCACCCTTTCCTGTGTTTTTCCAGTCTAATGCATTCCTGCCTCTCTAGCTTTTTCCCTGTGCAAATGCTGTCCTTCTGATCTCCCATGGTTGACTGTTTGAAGGAATACATCTCCCTGGTGTAGCTGTTCAGCTAGTAGGCTTGTCTACTGTTTGGCTGAAACTTAGCCTTAGCTGTGAGTCCAATTCCACGCCTGAAGGGTGACTAGGGGACAAGGTCTTGGAGGCAAAATTATAATCCTGATTTTAGTGTAAGGAGTAGGGCACTTTCAGATTTGGATAATCAGTCTAGTTCTTTAATATAATGCAGGTCTGTGTACTAATGTTGTCTTAATGACTTGACAGTTAACTTACCATATAAGGTGTCCAATATAATAAACAAAAAATTATTAATACACTGAGTAAAAAGATAATTCAGTTTTATAAAGAAAGAGATGTAGGTTTCTAAAGGCAACAGATGGTGTTAAGTGAAATGTGCCTATATAAAATAGCTCAGATAAAAATAAGAATAGAATGTTTATAGAACTGATGAATGTCTGCTTCTTAGCAAAGAGTTACTAGCAGCCTTTAAATGATAGTTTTTTAACGGCCAAAAATAGGAAGAGAAGAAAAAGGCTTATCACTTTATTTTGGGGAACAGGGGGAAAAAAAAGTAGCAACTATCTTAAAAAAGATCATTTCTGAACAGCTAAGTATTTAGGAAATGTTACTTTGTTGTATTAACCAACAATCCAAGCCCACAAGTACATATCACAAAGCTGGGTTTAGTCTATTTTAGTTTCTGGAAAGCAACTGGTATAACTAACATTTTTAAATTACACTGAAAACAATAAAAGTAACCCATAGTAGTGCTTAGATTTTTTTAAAATAGCCTTTTAACTCATTAACCTGAAAAGAAGAGTGTTTATTGATTTAAAAGCTAAACAAACAAACAAACAAACAAAACAGTTATTCTGGCAGCAGTCCAGGGAATTTTGTCTTTTTTTTCTTTAAAGATAAATTCTTAGCAGTTTAAATAATTTTGACTAATTCAACTGTTTACCTGTAAAGGTACTGAATTCACAGATACCATATGATATGTAAGTAAAACAACAGTAACAGTAAGTAAATCCTAGAAATAAATCTAGGAGAAATGGCTTGGAATCACATTCACCTCAGATCTGAGACTCACAGAAAAACTAGCAAATACAATCCAAAACACTAGCAAATATATACCTCAAAAACTTAATCCTATGATCCCACCTCTAGTAAAACAAAATCTAGTCAAAAGAAACTACTTACAAATGGCCAACTAGGTCAGCCCTTGCAAACGGTTTTCTCTCTGCACTGAGCATTCTTCCTCTGCCTTACTGTACCTCCTTCACCCATACCGACCTAGACCCAGCTCAAGGAACTCCTCCATAAAGTCCTTCCTACCTGATATCCCTATGGTAGAGTTTATCAGTCACTGGGTTTCCAGTGTATCCTGTACTTCTTAATTGGATTAGTCCCATTACATTTTAATTGTTAGTTTAAATGTCTACTTTCTCCTAAGAGTATGAGTTCCCAGATGGCTGATTTTACCTTTGCATCTTTTACTGAAGATTAAAACAATGCCTTGCCCAACTAGTATGTGCTTGATAAACATTTGCTCAATGAAGGAAAAATGATTTCACAGACTTAGATAGAGATGCAACATTTTTTGGTTAAAAAATTATGTTCTGAATGTTATACCGAACTTTTTATAAATCCTTTATTCTTTAAAATATATTTCTAAAGGGACAAGAAAACTTCCTTAAAAAACCAAAGGATACTTGGTATTTTACGGTCTTCATTAATAACAATAAGATCTGTGAAATCTCTTGAGATGCACTGAGGAATGATTTTCTTCAGAGCCAATCCTCTTCGGTAATAAACATGGGAGTTTGGTATAACTGTGGAGAGTTGTTCACAGAGTCGTACTGTTCTCTGAAACACAAAATAACAAAAATCCTCAAAAGTGAAAAAGAAAAAAATCTTATGTGATATATAAGGAAAAGAGTAATGGGTCTTAACGGAGTTGCCGTCAAGTCTATTCCAACTCACAGAGAACCTCTGTGTGTCACAGTACAGTTGTGCTCCCAAGGGTTTCACTGACTTGATTTTTTGGAAGTAGATCACCAACCCTTTCTTCTAAAACTCCTCTTTAATGTTATTAATAGAGAGCAAGGCTGGGAAAGAAGGAAGTCTAAATAGTGTCTCATTCTTTATCAAAGGCAGGTTATCCTACAGTAATGGTTCTCAACTGAGGATGATTTTGCCCTCTCAGGGGACATTTGGCAATGTTTGGAAACACATGTTGTCATGAATGGTGAGAGGACAGGTGCTATTGGCATTTAGTGGGTAGAACCTAGAAAACTGCTAGACATCCCATAATACAAAAGACAGCCTTCTACAACAAAGAATTATGCAGTGAAAAATGTAAAATAGTGCTGAGGTTGAGAAAACCTAGCATGAAGAATCATGCTTAGTAAATCTGTATCACATCATAACTGTGAAATTTTATTTAGCTTATTGAGAGGCATAGCTAAAACAATTAATGATTCCACTTTTCTGAACAGTTTGCAAAAATAATATAAATATAAGCAAATTAAGAATTCAAGAACTTTATTAATCAATGTGCTTTATACCCCATGAGGTCTGTCTGATGTTGTGATGAGAATCTTAGGAGAAGTTTGTCTGTTGAAGTAAGAAGCAAATTCATCTGTGGCTTCATCATAAGCAACCTGAGAAGAGAAAAAATGTCACATTGAACAGATGAATAATGTGCTGAGCCAGTGTTTTAAAAGTGGTTCCAGTAGGATTCTTTGACACTAACTACTAGCTAATAGGGCATTTAAAGGTAGCCCAGGAGGGATGTTCATTAATGGTGGTATGAAGAGGCTAGGTGACTTCCTCTCTGCAGAAAACAAGTATAAAAGTGGACAAAACATTCTCCAGGACAGACCATATCCTAGGATATGAAACAAGTCTTTTTAATTGAAAATGGCTAAAATCCAACAAAGTACGTTCACTAACCACAATAAAATTAGCAACAAAAAGAAATCTGGGAAATCCTCAAATATTTAGAAACGAAACACATTTCTTAATAACTAATGAGCCTAAGAAGAAATCACAAAAGAAATTAGAAAATATCTTGAACAGAGTGAAAATGAAAATACAACAAATCAAAATTCATGTGGCTAAAGCAGTGTTGCTGTTGTTGCTGTTATGTGCCATTGAATCAGACCCGACTCATAGTGACCCCTCCTTGGGTTTCCAAGGCGGTATCACTACGGAAGTAGATTGCCCAACCTTCCTTCCAAGGAGCGGCTGGTGGGTTTGAACCACCAACCTTCTGGTTAGCAGTCAAGTGCTTTAGGCTCTACGCTACCAGAGCTCCTGGCTAAAGCAGTACTAAGAGGGAAAACCAGAGCTTTACATGTCACATTAGAAAGAAAGAAGTGGAAAATCAATAACCTAAACTTTTGTCTTATGAAGTCAGAAAAAGAAGAGCAAATGAAACCTAAAGGAAACAGAAGGAAGGAAATCATAAGGGGATCAAGGAGAAAAATGAGTTAAATTTTTAAAAAACTAATGAAATTACAAGAAGAAATCAACAAATCTCCCATTAAAAGAAACTCATCTAAACAAGAAGAAAAACAACACATTTTAAAATTTGTGAGATATACCGTAAGTGGTGCTTAGAGGAAATTTTATCACCTTAAGTGCTTATATTACAAAAGATAATCAAATAAATAGAAATAATAAACACAAAGAAAGTAGGAATAAACAAGCAATAAAGACAAAAGAAGGTATAAATAAATTAGGAAACAAAGCTTCAATGCAGAGAATCAAAGAAAAAGGTGCTTTGAAAAAAATAACAAAGTAACTATATCTCTGGTGATAATGGAGCAAGAAAAGAGAAAAAGCTCAAATAAATAATATTAGGAATGAGAAGGAGACATTAACAGAGTCTTACTCATCAACATACATATACATATTCTAAGCAAAATATTTACAAACCAAAACAATGTACTGAAAGATCATATAATAAGACATCATAACCAAACTGGGTTTATCCTAAGAATGCAAGAGGCTTAACATTAGAAAATCTATAGATAAATATCATTCAGTACATGAGGAGCTCTGGCAGTGCAATAGTTAAAGTATATGACTACTAACCAAATGGTTGGCAGTTCAAACCCACCAGCCACTAAATGGCAGAAAGATGAGGCAGTTTCCTTCTATAAATATTTACAGCCTTAGAAATCCTATGGGTAGTTCTACTCTGTTTTCTAGGGTCATCATAAGTTGGAATTTACACTATGGCAGTGGGTTTGTTTTGTTCTTTTTTTAGTATGTTAATGCAGTAAGGGAACTCTGGTGGCATAGTGTCTAAGGCATTTGACTGCCAGAAAGCTGGCAGTTCAAACCCACTATCTGCTCTTTGGAAGACTGGGCAATCCACTTCCAGAGATACTGCCTCGGACACCCAAGGAGGGGTTGCTATGAGTAGGGACTCGATAGTGGTGAGTTGTTTTTTTTTTTTCCTCGGGGGGGGGGAGGGAAGGCAATAAAGAAAATACACTGCATAATCTTCTCAATATGTGCAGAAATAGTATCTGGTCATATTCTACACATCCATTCAAGATAAAACAAAACACAGCAAAATAAGATGGCATTTCATTAACTTGGTGAGAAGGAAGTATCATTAATAATACAAACATTAATGATGACACATTAGAAGCATCATCTTTAAAACCAGGAATATGGTGAAGATGCCTATTATTGCTTTCTCTTTCCCCAAGAGTCAGGAAAGTGGGGGAAAGAAAAGCCAGGGGGATGACACAGCAAGGAGCAGCAGCAGGGATCCAGGTTAAGGGGAGGGACCCAGGCCCTACCCCCAACAGGCAGGAAAGCTGGAGAAAGAAAAGCCAAGGGACAACAGAGCCAGCAGCAGCAGGGATCCAGGTTAAGGGGAGGGACCCAGGCCCTACCCCCAACAGGCAGGAAAGCTGGAGAAAGAAAAGCCAAGGGACAACAGAGCCAGCAGCAGCAGGGATCCAGGTAAGGGGAGGGTGGAGAGGTTTAGAACAGCTAAGGGAGACAAACTTGTCTGCTGATCTGTCCTACTGTGGTGGCTTGCGTGTTGCTGCAAGGCTTGTTTCAAACACCAGCAGAGTTGCACATGGTGCACAGGTTTCAACACAGCTTACAGACTGAGACAGACTAGGAAGAAGGAAGAGGTCATCTACTTCTCAAAGAATCAGCCAGGGAAAACCTTATGAATAGCACGAGAAACACTGTCTGATACACTACTGTGCAACTTTATGAATAGCCCAGAAACACTGTCCAATACAGTACAGGAGGATGAGCCCCTTAGGTTGAAAGGCTCTCAAAATACGACTGGGAAAGAGCTGCATCATCAGAGTAGAATGACCCTTACTAACATGGATAAAGTAAAGCTTTTGAGACCACCATTTGCTAACGTGGCATGACTCAAACTGAGGAGAAACAGCTGCAAGCATCCATTAATAACCAGAACATGGAATGTATGAAGTATGAATCAAGGAAAATTGGAAGTTGTCAAAAATGAAATGGAATGCGTAAAGATTGATATCCTAGGCATTAGTGAGCTAAAATGGACTGGTGTGGGGCATTGTGAATTAAGACAACCATATGATCTACTATGCCAGGAATGACAATTTGAAGAGGAATGGCGTGGCACTTATAATCACAAAGAAAGTTTCAAGATCTGTCCTAAAGTACAATGCTATCAGTGATAGGATAATAGCCATACATCTACAAGGAAGACCAGTTAATACGACTATTATTCAAATTTATGCACCAACCACCAAAGCCAAAGATAAGGAAATTGAAGATTTTACCAACTTCTGCAGTCTGAAATTGACCAAACATGCAATCAAGATGTGCTGATTATCACTGGTGACTGGAATGCAAAAGTTGGAAACAAAGAAGAATCACCGGTAGTTGGAAAATTTGACCTTGGTAACGGAAGTAAGGCTGGAGATAGCATGATAGAATTTTTCAAAACCAAAGACTTATTCATTGCAGATACCTTTTTTCAACAACACAAATGGCAGCTATACATGTGGACTTTGCCAGATGGAGTACACAGGATTAAGACTGCCTACATCTGTGGCAAGAGGCGATGGAAAAGTTCAGTATCTTCAGCCAAAACAAGGCCAGGAGCTGATTGTGGAATAGACAATCAACTGCTCATATGCAAGTTCAACTTGAAGACAATTAAAACAAGTCCATGAGAGTCAAAATATGACCTTGAATATATCCCTCCTGAATTTAGAGACCATCTAAAGAACAGATTACATGCACTGAACACCAATGACCAAAAACCAGAAGAATTGTGGGACGACCTCAAGAACATCATCCATGAAGAAAGCAAGAGGTCATTAAAAAGATGAGGAAAAAAAAGAAAAGACCAAAATGTATGTCAGAAGAGACGCTGAAACTTGTCCTTGAATGGAGAATCACTAAAGCAAGTGGAAGAAATAAAAAGGTAAAAGAGCTGAACAGAAGATTTCAAAGAGCAGCTCAAGTAGACAAAGCCAATTACTACAATGAAATGTGCAAAGACCTGGAGTTAGAAAACCAAAAGGGAAGAACATGCTCAGCATTTCTCAAGCTGAAAGAACTGAGGAAAAGACTGAAGCCTTAAATTGCAATACTGAAAGATTCTATGAGCAAAATATTGAATGATGCAGGAAGCATCAAAAGAAGAGAAAGGAATACACAGAGTCACTGTACCAAAAAAGAACTAGTAGATCTTCACCCATTTCAGGAGGTGACATATGATCAAGAACCAATAGTACTGAAGGAAGAAGTCGAAGCTGCACTGAAAGAATTGGTGAAGAACAAGGCTCCAGGAATTGGCGGAATAACCATTGAGATTTTTCAACAAACCGATGTCCCGCTAGAGGCACTCACTCAGTTATGCCAAGAGATTTGGAAGACAACTACCCGGCCAACTGACTGGAAGAAATCCATATATGTACCCATTCCAAACAAAGGTGATCCCAGAGAATGTGGAAATTATCAAACATTATCATTAATATCACACGCAAGTAAAATCTTACTGAAGATTATTCAAAAACAGTTGCAGCAGTATATTGACAGAGAACTTCCAGAGATAGAAGTTAGATTCAGAAGAGGACGTGGAGCAAGGGGTATCAATGGTGATGCCAGATGGATCTTGGCTGAAAGCAAAGAATGCCAGAAAGATGTTTACCTGTGTTTTATTGACTATGCAAAAGCATTTGATTGTGTGTATTATAAAACTATGGATAACACTGAGAAGAATGGGAATTCCAGAACACTTAATTGTACTCACGAGGAACCTATACACAGACCAGGAGGCTGTCATTCAAACAGAACAAGGAGACACTGCATTGTTTAAAATCAAGAATGGAGTGCATCAGGGTTGTATCCTTTCACCATACTTATTCAACCTGTATGATGAACAAATAATCCGAGACGCTGGACTATATGGAAGAACATGGCATCAAGATTGGAGAAAGAATCGTTAACAACCTGTGATATGGGGACGACACAACTTCTTTGCTTGCTTTTGAAAGCAGGGATGTCTTGAACCACTTACTGATGAAAATTGAAAAATACAGTCTGCAGTATGGATTATATCTTAATATAAAGAAAACAAAAATCCTCACAACTGGACCTATAAGCAACATCACAATAAATGGAGAAA